AGACATATTCCATGACGGGATGGGAAAATAATTTACCTAAGTATCTCCTTCGCGATATTTAAAGAAATTTAACAGGAATAATTTAAGATTACATAATTTTAGATATGCAGCCGCGAAAATGTTTACTTACCTTAAACTCGAGACTTAATTTCCTTGCCTTTGGTTGAGGAAATGACGGTGCGCTATCCTTTGACATTCTGAATCTGATCTTTAAATGAAGAAGCTTCATCCTTTTCTCTCCGGAGATTGTTTCATCTTTGCCAATGTCTCATCTGTGAACATAAAATTCGAAATTCATATTAAGATAGTTAATATATCTTCTCCACAAATTTTTTACTTTCCACTATGTAAAATAAAACATTGCAAATTATACTTCTCCACTTTTACAAATTTCTTTTCTTTAATTTAAAGCAGCGTTTAATTTTTCAATTAATCTTTAATCTTAAACTTTATTTAAAGTCTAAAACACACAAAATTAATAATAGATGTTTCGAGCCCGACAATGAAAGTTGACGACACAATCCTGGATTTTGAAGTTTGGACTGAGAGCTCTATATATCAACAAGCGATAGAAACAACTTTGTAACTGCTCGTCGGCTGTCCACAAGCTGTTTGCGAACTTTAACACGAATAAATTGGGAATACAGGTCGCGACCAGTTTGCGCCTCACGTATTGTGCGCAAAGTGTTCGCAAACTTCAGTTGTAGCCATATTTGGAAGACAGCATGATCAGGCAGTGGTACGAGAACGTTCATATAAACTTGTTACCATGACTTGCTACCTGGCATATGAATTTATTCGCGAGACATGCGAGCGCGCATGTCACATGATTAATAATTGTGTACCTTTATTCTATCTGTGGTAATTCGAGTCGCAGATAAAATTTAACGATCGTCTCACATAAAGTGTAATTAGCTACGAAATAATTTTCCAACTTGTAAATTTAGAACATAAAGATAATTCAAATTAGCATTTGTAAAAATCAAACGTGACGAGAATAGTAACAAAGTATTTAAAATACTTATTCTATTTTAACTTTATTGAATATATATATAAAAAAATATCGCCAAATAGAAATTTAAGTACATAAAAATACAGCGGTTCATATCCCGCATGATGTGAATCATAAACTTGACTATATCAGTGTACATGGTGTTGTGAATCGTCCTTTCTACTGGTATTTTCGCGGCAACTTACAACGTCATGAACGTCGAGCGAGCTTTAATTACGACGATGGAATCCGAGCGAAATACAGTCGCCGTTTGTGAGGTCGTAGCTTCTCGGAAATCGGCCACTATTTGCCGCCAAATTACTTTCGTACGTGATACCTGAATATATACGCGATACTACAGGTACTCGCACACATATTTGTCCTACCGCACACCGACGCGACCTGATAGCGTAGGATGTAGAAATTGTACGACAAGCAGAGATGCCGTCCCGAGCGCAAAACACAAAGCTGCATCCGGCAATGGAAACTCGTCGAAGAATATTTCTCCGTCTTTTTACGGCGGTATTTATGAGCGTACCAGAATACTAGTGAAACGTCTCTAAAATGACTTCTTTTATTCGTAAGCTAAATATTCTTCAAGCTTAACGAGATTTTTCTAGCAAATAGAAATTTAAGCTTCGACATAAATAAATCGTTCGCTCGTATATTCCTCGAATATCTTGCAATATTTCATTACGAAAAGACAAATGTGATACGCGTGTGTTGTGTATACAGTGTTTTAAAAACTAAATGTGCAATTTTTTTTTTTTTCGACGAAAGAAAACAAAGGATATTTTAGTCTCGCATTGCAGATGTACTTTCGTTAACGCTAATTCGTTCATTATATTATATATCAAAAAGAATAAGTTTTAATTAGATACATTTTATTATAAAACTAAATGCCAGAAATTAATAGATTACATATAGATAAATATATCATTTTTATTTATTACTAAACCAAATTTTAAAAATTTACTAAAATTATCTAAAATTTCAATACTTTTTCAAAATTATAGGTATAATTTTCAATGAATAAATATACATAGAAAAATACCATTCTATTGCTAAGAAAAGTGTTTATTTTTTTCTTTTAAATAACAGTTATCTTTAACAAAGAATATTTTTTTTATAAAATAGTTTTAAAATATTACAGATTTCAGAAAGACTTATTATATCTACTCATTACATTACCATGTACTTAAAACAAGAATTTATGTTCTTTTGAATAATATTATAAAATTTTATCGAAGAAAGATTTTATATAATAAAATTGAATTTTAATTTAATAACTTTGATTGAAGTATTAAACTCATTAAAAAAAAAAAATTCAGAATATATTTTAAATAAATTATCATAAACTTATGATAGATTTGTGGATATACGAACTATTAAAATACTGGAAACGAGTAATTAATATACTGGAAACAAGTAATTAATATTTAAATATATGTATTTTCCTGTGTGTGTAGAAACTCACTGGTATATATCGATTAGGAATAAGGCATTAGCTCTAATAACGAGCTCTGCCTCAGAAATTCAATCTATTCTCTCACGTGCACAGTCACTTTGCTGTCGCTGCGCGAGAACGATTGATTTTTGTTGCAACGAGCCTCCGAGTAATTACGTACCGTTGACGTTTAATGGGAGCGACATTATTGGATTCTCGTTACTACGACACTTATTTCCCGGCCACGTGTTATAACTGCGCCTGCAAAACGCCCTTTTTTCCATGCGAACTTGCGTTGAAGCCCAACGCTGGGAAACGAATGCCTTTGTGCACGTGTAAATCGCGACACTTCGAACTTGTTTACCCATTTGCGAATCCATGCAATTATTTCATTTTTTTAACTGACTTTGCAAGCGCGCAATTTTTGCATTTTATATTTTTTATTTATTGTTAGAATTAATAATAACAATCTTTATTTTAAAGTGCAAGATAACAAAGGAAGCATGCATTAATGTACAGTAAAAAAATAAAGTAGGTGAAAAGATGCACCTCAGCAGGTGAAGTAGCAGCATAATGCCTTGTCTAACAATAAGAAGCCTTGAAGCTTAAGCCTATGTTACAAGAAAAATAAAAATAATATAGCACACACACATATATATATACAAATAAGAAAATAATAAATTGCTAAATTATTCAACGTCTTGTTAAAATAAAAAGATTTAAAATAAAATATGTAATAGGTATTTTAAATATGTTAATATACTTTAATGTAGATAAACTGAATTTGCAAGAATAAAAGATTAAAATTCTCGCAGAACTAGCAAGAAAGTTCGTAAATCGCGATTTTCTGATGCAAGTGCCATAAATCGTCATCTGACAGCCTTGAATAATTAATCGACTTCCTCGACGAACTTAATTGAACTGAACGACGTCCTTCGATTTAACCAACGTTCAACGAGATTTTTCCGCGCGATTCAATCCATTCGATACATCCGAGCATCTAAGAAGACGATGACTACGATATCAACGATATATTCGTTCGACTTCTAGAGAGCCGGCTAGGTCGAGCAAAGGCCGCGCTCTTAATTTATGCGCAATCACTCGGCTGATCGATTTATTTGTTTTATAAGCCGCCTGTAATTGGCCACTGACAGCAGCTGTCTCAAGACCGGCTACAATATTCACGATACATTATTCATGCCACGACGATTCCCCCTTGCGCGCGCACAGCAATCCCCAAACTCGCCTAACTTGTGCTTGTCTCTCGTCTCGTCTCGCCTCTGCGATTCACATACAAAACGACCGCTCTCTGCGATACGCTCACCTCCTCGCATGCACCTCAAATGAACTACCACCTCCTCCTCCTCCTCCTCCTCACCCTTTCACACTGTTTTATCGTTTTGACACGAGTTCACCTTTGCAGTATCAATTGGACTATTTTCCATGAGTTCGACAGTTGGCACGTGGAGAAAAGTATTGCCGGGAATTTCCCCGGTGACCGGATTTCCGAAGCTCGATCCGACGCACACATTCTCGCCTAATATTTTATTTTTCCTCTGAGGAAAAGGAAATATATGTAGCTTCGTCGGGTTGGTCTGACTACAAACATCTCTACAAATTTTCGAATGTTTTGTAAATATTTTTCTGTTCAATCTACGTCAACTTTTGTGTCAAAATTTAAAAAAAGCTAAGATTAAATCAACACTATGTTCGACAACGCAACACGTCAAAACAAGATGTCTCATAAAATTTCTTTACAAATTTACTCCTCTTTTTTTAGTAAAAAAATTTATAAAAGACTGAAAATAGTAAAATTCTTCAAGCGAATTTCTTCCAACGATATCATCCTTAATTGAACACATTTCGAGAGAAATGTTTCTTGTAAGCCGCATTTGGCAACGCAAATGCATCTCGGAGATTGGAATAAAAGATCGGGGTTATAAATCGGGGACGAGATGTGTGACGGCGGACAAACGTCGGTTCCCGTGAAATTGATCGCTGTGGTGGACCTGATACACGGACACAATATGTCGAGGGTAATAATCGTCCGGTCGTGACAATCGATGGCAGCTTCATCGGTAGCGAACGATGGATCTTCGCAATCGGATGGAGAAGAGAGGTGGAGGGGTCTTCGGAGGGCATTCGAAAGCTCGTTTACAAGTCAACGACGACGAATAGCCGACGAATAGCCGTGAAATCTACAAGTCTTCTGACGCCAGCACACACATCAACAGAGTTCTGACACACAAAACCAAAACTTCGACTATCATATAATACAGAAAAATTACATGTACACACAAAAATGTATACTGCACTCGAGTTATAATTTATTTGTTTCAAGTATTTCAAAAATTCGTATGTCCGCAAATCTATTATACAAGTTCATCACAAGCATCAAATTTATTCAAAATGTTTTAGAATCCAAGTGAGTTTAATAATCAAGAATATTAAATTAAAACAAATTCAATTTGCTTCTTCAATCAATTTTATAATATTCTTCAAAAGAAAATTCTTGTTTAGAGTATATAATAAATTTTTCTCGAGTTTTTCTAAAATTTATAGTAAATATATTTTAAGAATATGTTATCAAGAAAATACTAAAGACCGTAACTTAAAAGGAAAAAAGAAAGTAAATTGAGCAATCACTTTTCTCTTTATAATATTTTTCTGTATATATACACACACACACATATATATACATAAAATTCTAAAACTGCTCAAAGTTCCAAAAATATTATAATTGTTTCAATTTTTGATATCATTTAATGCTTTTCCTTGCAAAATATAATTGATATTTGATATTCAAAATCGATATATATACCAAAAA